TTTTCGAAGATCTAATAAAAAGCCGTGACCAGTGGAGTTGAACCGCTTGAAGTGTGAGGCAGTTATCCACAGAAGACAGTAGTTGATGATCGCGTAATACCATCGATTGATTAAAGTTAGACATTACTCCAATTGAACGTCAGCTCGGCGGCATACAGGTTAAGTGTTTGCACGCGAGACTGAGTGACGTAGTGGATAAACACTGATGAGTAGTCCCATACTAGGACGAAACGGTGATCCAGTACTTCTAGGTTTCCAATGGCTGTTTAAAATTGGTAGATTCATGCTTTCAATGAGATTCAAATATAAGTAAAAGTTACAGTTTGAAATAAATACAAAAGTAGTTGAACATGCCAACCACTTCAGTTATCTTGAGGGTCTCATCTGTGTGAATGGTTTTGTGTCTGATGAATTCTCGAAACAGATACAGAAAGCTCCATTGAACTTTTTCCATTTTCATCGCTTGTGTTTTGAGTGAAATAACCCTCTGTCAAACAGAGCACAAGAATACTGCACAGATGTTCGCAAGCATTGTTAGTATATTTTCGGACCACCGAATAAGAGCAAGTCTGAGGTTACAAACAGATCACCCTTAGCAACTAAGACTATTAGGACACGTATGATGTGTAACCATTCATTACCTACCCCGACGTCCGATAATTACTGATGCAGGATTAGGTTCAAGGTAAGTTAGAGGTGGTCAAATCAAGACATCACAATAATTCATTAAGGCAATGATTATTAGTATGAATCATGTAAGTCGGTGCATAATTCTGCTAATTGTGTTTCATGTGCTTATCTTAATCAATTGTTAGAAACTTTGGATGACATGACTCGAAATCATTCACCATCGTACAAGTGTATGCACTGTTTGTTTATTCTGAGATCTTTATATTTCCTTATAAAAACTTTTTTATTTCAGTAAACTACATATTCCTGTCAAGTTATATCTTGTAGAAACGTGACTCGTGATATCGATAATAAACAGCAATCTCCGTAACTCTTTAATGAAAAATCGTACCATGTGCTCACTAGTGACTAATTTCGTGAGAAAATTCTCGAAGTTTTGGTGAGAAGACGTGACCTAAGGAGCTCAACCCTGTTGGGTGTAGGCAGTAACTATTGAAGACAAATGGGTGAGGTTACGCAAAATCCTTAGATTGGTCAGAGTTCCATAATAACACCGCTGGGTGCCAGCCAGACCAAAGGTCCTGGGTTCAAGTCCTGTGGGTAGCAGGAGTCGTGGATGTGCACTGTTGATGAGTTAAATGTCGGAATATATCAGCTGTCCAGTGATTCCTGGTCCCTAATGGTGGTTTATCAATGACTGATCCATGATTTGAATCAGAAACTGGAATCATCTGAATAAAATGACGATAGTGGCTAGCAAGCATTGAAACATGACATGCGGGTTTCATTGTGTATGGTATTCATGAACTGGATGTATCTGCATTACAGTGTTGAGTTCTAAACTAAGACTCGAAACGAGTATATCTTTCGTTCCAAACTCCATGTAACCATTATTTTTGTGACAGAATGGCTCATATCAATGTAATCCTCACAGGGTATGCATATATACCAACAAAAACTGATCACATTCATTTCTGAATAAACATACTTATTAATAATGATTTAAAATTAGTCAAGAAAATATAGCTGTTGTTAACTATCAAGAAAAAATATAGGTGGGCCAAGTGAATGGATGGATACATTATCAAACAAAATTAATTCAATAAATAGTATGAATGAATTGATATGAATTCTGTTATCAAACTATGTGGGAAAGGTCGACTAATCACGTGTCCAGAGGTCAACCAATGGGAATAAAACGTTCAATAAGGATACAGAGATCAATGAACGTGACAGAAACTTTGAAAAAACAACCACACATAAGAAAGTTCACCAGAATAGGTAGGTTTAATTACCTCTTGTGAATAAAGTAAGCAGTTCACTTCTACTTAGTGTGATCAGTCATGATTTTGTCAAGGACGATAATAGGCCATGTAGCTCTGGCAAGACGAATAAATTGTAGTCCTAAATATCAACGAGAATATTTTAACAGCCAATACAAGCGAATTAATCTCCACTCATCTGATCTCAGTAGTTGAAACGATGACTGTTGAAGCAAACGTTAATTGATTCGAGTCCCGATGCAAACATCAATTTTCGAATGTATTAGGAACATCCAACTAAATAAACGAGTACCGAATAGAACGGAATACGCACACCGGATTACAGTGATATCCATCATCTAGCTACGTTAATAGTGCTTGTAACTTAGTGACAATACAGTGGATATCTGCATTGAACGCCCATATGTCAAAGTGACTGATCAACCGGGGTCCTAAACATCAACGAGCAGATCCGAATAGCCGATAACAATTGAACAATACAATTATGTCGCCAAATGAAGTGCACATCTTCCACACTAATTCAGGAAATATATATATATATATATATATATATATATATATATATATATATATATATATATATATATATATATATATGTATATCCATATGCACACAATTTTAAAAGTGATCAGTGTTTTCTCCTGTCATTTTGAAGTTCCACTCTTTATAAATAATATGCATGGCTTCAATAGTTTTAAGCAACAACAGGAAAGATAGAGGGAGTAAAAGGAAATATTTTGAGGGTAAAACACAATGAATAATGAACTTGTTATATTGTAATTAAAAAAGCTATTTGGGAAGGGTAGTAAAACACAATGTTGAAATCTTTTAACAAAACAAAATAGGAAGGAACAGAAAATGATTAAAAGACAAATGGCTGGTGTAACTAACAAGAATTGTGGATAAAGTGAATTAAAAAGTAATGGGGCAGAGTGGCTGGAATTCAGTGCGAATAATACTGTCTGAGAATGGTTCTCGTTGATATGGAAATACATTGCTAATAGCTTGCCATCATTATTACAATTGATTGATCCCGTCGAAACACTTCACATCCGTTTGTTTATTGTTTTAAATCTTTTCAAACTTCTGCGTGTAGAGGGCTTGTTTGTAAGAACTGTTTAAAGTATGAATTGATTTTGCTATATGACCGCCGAATTCCAGAAAGTACTGGATGTTTCACCATGTTATCGGACTCCTCAGAAGTACGTACCAACGACCCCAACGGAGGGTGATCTCAAAACCTTGCAGCTAACCTTGTAGACAAAATCCTTTCGTTCGATCCCTTTAATTCTCACTACCGAAGAGCTCCATGTAAGGACGAAATAGCTGTCCAGGTCTTTCTGGCTTTCAATGGTCGTTTAACACCAGTGGATGATTTGAACTAAAAGATTCAACAGTCTCCAAGACCCTGTTCCCATAATAAATATTAATTCTACGTTACTGAATTTCATTCCATTTAAAAATTGAACAAATTCTGTTCAGTATTTTGAGGATTTTCAGTTACTGTTAAAATAATCACTTCAGTGGTGTAAACCAATGATCAAAATGAAAGTGAACAATTTCTATCAAACTACAATGATAATTAGATTACAACTGTGAGTAGTAATCAAAGTTGAGATTTATGCACCAGAGTTGAGGAAAGTATTATTCATCGAACCTCTTCAATGCTGACTAATATGATCCATTTCGTATCTACTGTTTATCTTACAGTTAAGGTAGCGTCATATTAGACAGTACTGCTCATTATTGTTTAAGGTTGGTACTTTTTACATGTAAGCGAGTGCGGTAAAAAGATCACAGGAAAACGGTCATCATTATTATTTCTCTGGACTGTAATGATGAAAAAAAACAATTATAGCATTTCTTTAAAATAGCTGAACTATTTACGGATGACCATATCATAATTCAGTATGTTGATTTCCAGTATGCATTATTGAAATACAAAGAGTTCTATCAACGAACCCAACAACAGAATTTAGTTAAAAAATTAACCTATGCATTTAAACTGAAATTTTTTTCTCATACTGATCAAACACGACAGAATATAGTCATGGGATAATGGAAAGTAGATATGTGTATTCGTTTGATGATATGCTTTTCTGTCGATAGATTAAGATGAAAGGGTACTGCCGTGTAAGTATGGCAGATCAAGTAGTGAATCTTCACCACCTGATGTTGTTGGGATATGAGTTACGTATGGCCAACCACCGACTACCCGATGTGATTTTTTGTGTTGTAGAAGTAGGTTGGAAGAAAGCTAGTGACAGCTAGACCAGACTGACTGACAAACTATCGACCTCAATACAATGGTGGTTATCTGATGTAGCGACTTACCTCGTCACGGCCATATACAAGGTTATATGTTGTCTAAATTCAAAGACAGTGATCAGAAAATAAATAATTAACATTAACAGCAGCTCAAATAAAAGACTCAAGAATGAAGCGAAAACAAACAGTGAACACATATGCGCTATTGCAACCGATTGAGACATGTAACTCATCCTCTTTAACCATTGCTTATGATAATCGCCATGACCAAAATAAGATAGTCTGATCATGCAGAGCAGTCCAACAATGATGTCTCAGATTAATAGCTTTCCTCCAACCTGCTCCTACAGCAAAATCGTACATCGTTGCAGGCACACATCCCAACTACCTAACTACAGAATATACAATACCATACTTTTCTACGAAACTTTGACCGGTAAAGTTCAACCGTTTCATGTGTGAGACAGTTTCCCACCAAAAAACAAAGAATAATTGTTGCACAATAACATGGCTTGATTGAAGTTAGACATTAACACCATTTGGTGTCAGCTCAGTGGTCAAGAATTTAACCGTTCGTGCTTGAAACCCGCTCTAGTGGAGCGCATACTAGGATGAAACAACTATCCAATTCAGTGCTTCCAAATTTCTAATAGCAGTCTAACATTAATCAACTTATGGTTTGAATAAAACCATGATGTAATGATTTTTCATAGGTATCCTGCACTGCTTGCTAGTGTAACTTAACTAACTATATCCATCATCGAGCTTAATCACTAAATAATACCATCATTGTTATAAACAATATTAACAGGAAAATCTATATATGTATATGTATATTATTGTAAATTCTATTTATTTTGAGTATCCTACAAAAAAAAACTGAACAGAACAAAACAGAAAAACTCAAATGAAAAAAATCAGGGACAGACAGAAGAAAAAAATAGGACAAAGAACAATTGTAATTGTAAATGTGAAGAAATATGATAGCAGAAATTGTAAAATTGATAATGAGAGTGATTAGTTTCTTCTGTTGTTTTTAATTTCTCTTTTTTTTAAAAAAAAACAAAACAAAACAGACGAGAAAGAACACAAACTGATTAATGATGATTATCGGTGCGAAAAAAAAGATGATCAGTAATTTTTTTTTAATATATTTCTGTGTATTATTTATATGTATGTATATGTGTGCATGTGTGTGTGTGTATGAGAGAGAGACAGAATGAATATTCGTCCGTGAGCATCTGTTGCCGATACAAATACACACGTATACACACACATATTGTAACTATTACGAATAACAATTAAACATTAATAATAATAATAATAATAATAATACTTGAACACAAATAAAATTACATCATTTTGAATTTGAAAACGCCAGCATCATCACTAGCAATGATACAACACCAACAATAACATGGACAAAGAAACCTGTGTTTAGTAGAGTAGAAGGTGAGTTAACTAGCTAACTAACTAACTAACTAACTGACTGACTGACTGACTATGCTGAAAATAATCAAAATGTAGAAATGATTTCTTATGAATAGAATCACCATCATCATCATCATCAGTTCAATGATGAAGGAGCAATGAAATCAATGTGATGGAATTTTGGGTGTTGTCTACTTTGTTTTATTATTATTATTAGTTTTTTATGGAACGGGGAATTGATTAGATTTATTGCGTAATCAATCAATCATCAAAAGACAAGTACACAGAGGAGTGAGAGTGAGAGAAACAAGACAAGGATACAAAGAGCAATAAAGATCACAAAATTATCTACCAATGAATGAATCAATGAATGACAAGTTCTATTTGTGCTATTGAAATTGAATGCACAAGGTATGTTTTAATCTGTACGGGTGAATGGGTGTGTGTGTGTGGGCAACTGCGGAAGAGAGAGACAAAGAGAGAGAGCATGCCTATGAACAAGATATTGATGGTGATGATCAGCATGGAAACTCTACTGTCCATAGAGTTAAAACTACTACAAAGTACATACACAATCAGTGTATGTCAGTGTCAAGTGTAAAAATTATCGACAGTTTATTATTACCGAAATAATCGAAAAAACATCATACACACACACTCACATACATACATAGGTAAATTGTAGAGTACGCACACACACGCACTCACACAAACAAGCAAACCAGTGGAAAAAAACAACAGTAGAAAAAAAAATTATGATGAAGAAACAGGGCAAAGTTTTGGTTAGTTACGGTCAATCAGACAGATGATAAGATGTTAAAAAAAAACTGAATAGAATAGAATAAACAATTAGTCAAAAACTAATCACATTTTATTTTCATTATTTTTGATCAAGTCACAGCGACAAATATAGTAAATCGTCTTCATTGACTGGCTTTCAAAAGAACAAATAAGAGAAGGCCAATTTTCTAGATTATAATAATAATAATAATAATGATTATAATTGTTATTATTTTAATTGCTACTATTCATAGGAAAAAATGAAAAACAAACAAACTACTGCAAACTATACAAAATCAATATGAAAGAGAAACAGGGAGAAACCAACTTGTACTGAACAGAATAGACACACACACACACTCAGAGAGAGAGAGAGAAGGAACAAGCAACATGTGTGTGTGGACATCAGCTTATGGAGCGAACAGACATAGTTATAACCGTCATTACTGTTAACCACTACTACTACTACTACTATTACTATTACTATTAACTACTTTCAACTACACTACTTATCATCACTTAACTACTACTAGTAGTAGTGGCCATAATTCAAGTTGATGATGATCAAGATGATGATGATTGTGACAGTACAAATAGAATATAATAGGAGACAAGTAATAGAATGAAATCATCATCGCAGGATAAGGCGCATTTCTTACTCTAGATATAATCAAATCTAATATGGGCGATGTGTGTGTGTGTTTGTTATGCGTGAAGTCTACATTGAGAAAAGAATAAGAAGAATAAAAAGATCGACATTCTCTAGTTGCAATTGTTTTGATCGCGACGACGACAACGACGACGACGTCGACGAGAGTATAAAGAACAATGTGATTCATTCAACTGACTAACCACCACGTTACGTACGTACAATCATCATTAATCGAATATAAGCAAACAACAGTGCATAAAAACACAAATACACACATACACGCACACGCACACACACTTATGCACACGCATAAATTGAGTGATGGAAAAGGGAAAACACAAAATCTTGTACTGTTTCAAAAGTAATTTTAATATCAATGAAAATTGAAGAATGATGTTGATTTTTTTTTTAAAAGATTCTAATAATTCCAAACAAACTCATTGATATTATTCATTACTTTTGGAATTATTAGAATTAATGGAATTATATTATAATAGAGTAGTAAGAAAGTCAGAGAGAGAGAGAGGAGAAAGGGATAGTAAGGGAGGGAGGGAGGGATGGAATTTACTACTATAACTACAACTAGTAATATGTTTCTCTTTCAAGCCATGATCCAGGCGGTAATCTTCGAAGTAGAAATTTCCGTACTTCATCGTAAACAAATATCAAGAAACTGAATGGTAAACCTGGAAGCCACCATGTAAATCTGAAAAAAAAGAAGAGATTTGTTTCAGATAGGAAAAAACACAAAGAGACACAATGACAAACAGAGATTCCACTTTATATACGTATCAAATAAGATTATTATTATTATTATTATTATTGTTTAGGGTAGTAATCACAGAAGGTATTCTTACAGATTTCAAAAAAGAGGTATTTTACGTGGCAGGTAATATTGATTTTCTTCTATACCCTGAATGATAGAGGAAATTTTTATAGAAAGCACCATGATATTAAGACAGCTTTGAACATAGTGAACAATAAGTAAAGGAGTTGTTAAGGTATATTTTACACAAAACCAATCATTTGAGTGAATGTGCTGAATTAGGTTGGACCATCAGTAGAAATGTTGCATTTACATAAAACTCGTCAACTCGTCAAATGATGATGCATTCACTATCCACAAAGGCAGGATTCGAACCGATGGTTTTTGGTCTTCTACACGGATGTTTATTTAACTTCTAGATCACTGAGCTGGAATGCAAACATGTACAATATGTCTAACTTCAATTAATTCGTGAGATAGAATTCCACTTGTGGCCATTATTAGCTATGAATAACTATCTCATGTGGGACATGGCTCAATTCCACTAGTCATAGTGAAAGATTGAAAGTTCATAATTCGACTCCTAGAGGATATAGTTACACACACAATCAGGGAGTCGTACGCTAGGATGATTCCAGGTTTTCAATAATGGTTCAGTTAATACTAATTCGTGATTTATACTTTTAATATCATATTGTAGATATGTCTGTTAGTGGAATGTTTCGATGCCAACATTTTAGTCAGTTTTGTATATTTTCAAATTATTTTTGAAAATTCAGTCCTGCATGTAGTAGTGGAGAAAACAAGTCAAATAAGAATAGAAGCTTCGCTTCAATTTTGTGATTGATGCGTAGTAAATAAGTTTACTGATTGTTTAAAGCACCGTCCTAAACTTCTACCTGGAAGCCTTCCATCTTAAGGATAGCTTTGTGACCCAGTTGGGTGATTTCCGCTTGTATCTTTAAGTGAACTAATGGTGCAGAGGCTGCTGCTAAACAGGCAATCATCATCAACATTTTTGTTGCTGTTTGTGTGTGGGATGGATGTCGAACTGTATTCCGTGCATCTCTTGAGATGTTGACATCTTCTTCATGATCCAGTCGACCACTAGGAGAATAATATAACACAATAATACAAATAATAATGATAATCATTTCACATTATGAAAATTCCACTAACCTTAATGGCATCATACGTAGACCTTTGTCTAAACCAGGACAATACGATAAAAAGATTGCTAATGTTGTTTCAAAGAACAGACCAAATGTTAAATGATGATTCCACATGCCTTGTTGAAATATTGAATTACGACGTGTTTTACAAATCATTAAATCAGTCCATTGTACAATAACAATAGATGCAAAAAATGCTGTATGACATGTATATTCTAAACGTTTACGTTGACTGTATGTCTGTAAAGATAATAACCGATAGAAAAGAAAAACAAAACAAAGAGATTATTAATTGAAAGCGAACATTGAAATCATGAACTGATCAATGTTAGACCATTACTGGGAACCTTGACAGTTATCCAGTGTTTCAAGGTTACTAATGATGTTCTAACAATGACCGATTTATGATTTTAATGAATGAATCACTTCATTTTAAAACTTTAGCTTTAAAGAAGCAAACAACGTGAAAATATAACTGAGCAACTATGTAGTTCATAAAACAATTCTTTTGTCTAAAACAAATAACCTCTCCATCAAATCACTTACCCATTCTTGTCCATAAGAATCGGCTAAATCGTTAATAGCTTTCGAATCCCATTCACGTCGTATACCAAGTAGACGTGATGGCCAAAAACCATTTTCTGCCATAATAACGAAATAAACAAAGAAACCACCTGATGCTTGTATCATACCAATTTGACCATAAGCCATTGAAATTAAACGTTCATTGACTAATTTATCATGTAAAGGATCACGTGGCATACGTTTCATGATATCTGCTTCAGCTTCTTCATAGGCCAATGAAATTGCTGGAATCTAAGAGAAAGATAGAAAACAGATAGGCAGAAGATTGAATGTTGAATGATTTGTAAGTTAACAGAGAGTATCAAATTTTCACGAAGCATTTTTCAAAGATCGTTGAATTTTTTGTAGATAATTATATCATTGTACAACTTGGAGAAAGATATGAGAAGAATGATCAAAAACAGGAAAGAACTGGAAAGGGAATCCGAGGACAGAGTTGGCTGGAGAAAACTGGTAGGCGGCCTATGCTCGATTGGGGGTAAGTAAGTAAGTAAAGTACAACTTAGCATATTAGTGCATAGGAATATATTGAAAATGACAAAAATTCACATCACGACTTGGATTAGTCAACTATGAAAAAACAAGAAGGCATCAAGTAGTTATTTTATTCTAGTAATGAACTAACTGTTCAATAATGTATATCCGCTATTCAACCAGAAATTGAACCCAGAATTTTCAAGTAATGATTGTTGTTGTGTAAAATCGTTGAGTTTCAAGTTTCCAACTATGAACTGACTTCGATTAGATAATCATTGAATTTGACTGTCAGTTCATCATCTCTGGAACTTAAAATCTAACTGTCCTAGATCCATAATAGTTGAGGGACTAGATATTAGAATGAAATATCTAGGTTGTTTAATGTTGTCAGGTTTTATTGGTTTTGCTTCATTCGAGCCATTTAATATGATATCAAATAAAAAAGGCGTAATAAATATCATGAGTGTACATAGATGAGGAGTTGCAGTGTAGAATAAGAGGAAATAATTATGCCGAATTTTTAATCGACTACCAAATGAAATGGATATCTGATTTATAATGAAGAACTTCGTACGTACGTACATCATTTCAACTTGTCATATCACATTATCACACAGAGAGAAGGAATTGTCAATTCAAATCTTATAGTAATAGATGTAGTAGAAGTATTAGCGGTAATGGAAAAGATTTGTGATTGATATCATTCGAAAAGTATATCCCAGAGGAATCAATTAAAAAAAACAGAGAGAAAGAGAAACGGTGATAAGGAATTCAGAAGATTAAAATATGAGAGAAGACAAAGAATGAATGCATCTGTGCCATTGCAAACGATTTTGAGCAATGTCATTCAAAGTCTCTAACCATCGGTTACTATTGTCTTTTGAACCCCAACGAGACAGTCTACACATACCAACACGGCTCAGTTCACCAGTTGTCAGTGACATAATATTAACTCAACTTCACACATTTAGTTGATGAGTTCAAAAACAGGACGAAACATGTATTTTAGATTCTTAATTGATAAAATGTACCATACGGTCACGAAGAACATGGAGTCTGATACATATATATGTTCATCAGTTCAAACAATCATATCATTTCAGAATACTAAGGTAAATCTGTTGTTAGAAAACAAAGTATACGATGATTTTTTAAAACTTAAGATTTAAGGGAAAACAATAAGTCAGCAAATCTGTGTCATTGTGATTACTTCTCAAACCATATTGGTTATGGTAATCTGATGGACTTTTAATCAGCTCGATCTAATAATCAATATAACTTTATGAACGAATGTCATGTCTTAAACTGGTCGCCTCCACAGCTTCCTTCCAACCAACTTGTACACCAGTATATAGTGTAGTCCAGGTAAATATAGTTTGGTTGAGTATTCGTAAGATTTATATGTCCTAATCACTTGATTAGAACATCAATCATCTATTTATGACCTAAAGCTAGCATCCTGCGTTTAATCTCAAGATTCCTAACTTGATAGTCTTAAATACTGTACAGTTTCATTGCCCAAAAAGGAAAAAATATATATGAAAAGAGTTTTGAGTTTGTTGAAAAATTGAATTGAATTGAAACGCCTTATTCATGTTTACTCGGATTATTCCAAATAGATATATCAATAAGAAATTAAAGAATGGTAATAATACCGGTGAAATATATCCTATGAGGAGAAGAAACACAATCAAACAAATTTCAATCGTTTTGGTCATTTGTCTGAAAACATAGATTAATTATACAAGAAGTAGTGTAAGAAAACCCCTCCAAAAAAAAACCGAAACAAAACACTTGAGCAACAACAACAACAACACAACCATTTCATGAACACATGTGACAACAATGATAATCAATTGATCAATATCAATAAAACAAACAAAAAACAACCAAAAACAAACTAAATAATCATTATGAAATTTTTAATTTTCTAAGTCATGAATTTTGAACTGATATGACCTCGAAGAGATGTGGTGGTTGTTGGTGAACAATAATAGTAAGTCAGTGAGTGAGTGAGTTGGTGAGGTATTTTTTTATTCACAGTTGTATGGTGAGAAAATGTTTTCGAAATAAAGAAAAAACAAAAATAGGTCAAGAAAAACAGAGTTCATGCAAACCAATAAAGTGGTTATATTTACTGTTGGTAAATTTATTTAATAACAACAAAAAGACAGATTCTTTTTTTTTTAAATCAGAAGAGATAAAACTAAATATTGTTTAAAGGAATGTGTTTGGTCCTCGTGAAATTCAGAACAAATTAAGTTGATGAGTTCTAGAATGGGACGAAACATGTATCTTTGATTCTGAATTGTTAGGACTATCATTCAAAAGATACAGGCATTTAGAAATAATGGTCTACGTGAGATACTCTGGATTGGTTGGTCAGACACCATCAGAAAAAAAACATATTGAGGCTGGAAAGAAACCAGTAGCTTCAGATGAGGAAAAAAATTAGTAAAAAGTAATGGAAGTGAATCGGATACATGCATTGAGGAAATTATCAAACTATTTCACGAAGTAAATAATAGCTTGGAATTTATAAAGTAAAAACAAAGGACCGACTAAACAAAACATTGCGCTGAGTATTGGAACTAATTAGGAAGAACTGGAAAGGAGAGACTGGGACAGATTTGGTTAGAGAATCCTGTTTAGTAGCCTATGTTACATGAGGGGGTAGTAGATGCAAGTAAGCTGAGATGACCTAACATTGGATGTGATACTGTCCAAAAATTAGACAAAATGTTTACTTCTTTAGTTAGTCTACAAAAGAAACGATGACCATTAGTATTCATGCTTTATTGATGAACAGAAACGAAGTTGGTTATTGTGAAAAGTAATTAATTAAACAAAGTATGGTAGTTGAACAAGATCAAAAGAAAACGTCTAGATATGACGAATGAATAATAATAATAACAATAATAATAATAATAATAATAATAATAATAATCGAAACTGAACATTTAAAAGACTCATACATTCAATCATTCATCATTTTTTTCAGATAATCTCACAAATTGCTTAATCATACTCCTCTTTTCGAAGTACACAAGGTCCATTCAGACTATACGTGAACTTATCGAAGGATAGATGTTGGCAATTTTATCTGATTAATTATTCAAATCGAAGAAGTAGATGATTTAGTGAAGCTTTAAGAACCTGTTGCATACACACACATATATAAGGAATAAAAATGGTGGTGAATTTTTTAAACATCAATCAGTCATTTTGAAGTACACTTGACATACATTAATTTGTGTCAGTTTATGTTGTTGTTACATTGTAGCAAGATAATATAAAGCTCCAGAAAAAAACAAAAACGAAAGAATGCATATTTCATGCTATACAAAACTTGTCAACTCGATGCACACATGCCAATGGAGTGAAGTTGAACTACCAAACTTTTCACTTTAAATGTCAATACATTATTTAATTAGACAATTGCTTATCCGAATATAGTAAATGAATTATTCGTTTGAATATTTCCGCTGTTGATTATTTTCACTGATTGATAGATAGATAGATAGATAGATAAAGTGATGATGTATGTGTCCAGTAAAACAAACATAGAACAACTTTATATCCACAGAGATTAATAATCAAAAAATATATCTAAATCTTTAAGAAACCTAATGAATAGAATGTTAAATCTATGTAGCAGTACTAGTAGTAGTAGTAATAATGTGCATTCGATGTATTCATCCCAACGGGATATTTCCCATTTACATAATTCAATAAAATAAAATAAAAAACAATAAAACTCTTAACATTCCAGTAAACGAGAGGAGAGAGCACACATACCATAAAACCTACACATCAACTATTAAATGCTTGTTTTCGTGATATCAAAGAATTATAGACGCAAAAGATTATTATTATTATTGAAAACAGATTTTATCTCATAGTGAATGAATTGTCACAGTCAAATGGTACATCTACATTGAGATATTAATTGATTGGAGGAAACACACATATAAAAGAGGAATAAAAATGATAGAATGTCAATGACATTTTATCTTAATATATTTCAATGGTACTATCTTTACTACTAGTAACCAGTATATACTATTCATAAAAGAGGATAAAACGCTAGTAACTGAGTACAGATTAGAGTAATTCATCTAAGGGGTAATGCGTTTCAATTAAAAGACCAGTGATACTATCTTGACACCTGGTGCTGTCGATTGAAACGAATCAGTTAGAGGTGAGGCTAGAGTGCTCAGTCAACAACAACGCAGAACTTCGTACGTACGAACATCAGTTCAAGTTACCATACCAAATTAGCACACAGAGATCGAATCGTCAATTCAAATTCTATAGTAGTAGAGGTAGTAGAAGTATGAACAGTAATCGAAGAGATTACGGTTCAAAGATATCATTTAAGAAGTAGAATATAGAGAAAAAAACTTAAAAAGAAAAAGATAAAGGTGATGCGGAACTCCAAAAGTTAAGAATTAAGAGAACACAAAGAATGAATGCAATTGCACAATCGAAAATAGTTTTGAGCCGCATTATTCAGAGTCTCTAACTATTGAATATTATCATCTCGCCTACCCCAGCCAGGTAGATTACATCCATCAACATGACTCATTCCAGTTATCTGTGACTTTATGGATTTCTGCCATGTTTTGGTTTGCCCGCAAAATACAGTTGGTGGTTAGGCATACGCAACACATGTCCCAACCACACGAACTGATGAAGTTTCACTAGTTCATATATTGATCTACCATCTTTACCTAGTATCCCTCTCCTAACAACAGCATTGCTTACTCGGTTGTCCCATGATACACGAGCAATACTTCGAAGACACCTATGATCAAAAACAAGCAATCTACGAACGTCCTCAACCCTTATTGGCCATGTTTCACATCCGCATAGTAGGACGGAGCGAACTACTGCGCAGTACACTTGTCCTTTGGTTAGCAAACGGATATCTCGCCTTCGCCATAAGTGACGCAAGTTAGCAAAAGCCAATCGAGCCTTTTGTAACCGTGCTGAGATTTCGTCAGTCACCAGGCCATCAGCAAGGATGAGACTTCCAGAGTGCTCAAATAGGAAGCGAAAGAGGTGGGTGAGTTTACCACACTGCAACTTCAGTGGGTTTGTGCCTTAAAAAGTTTCGGCGTTGTTCCAGAAGGCCCAGGTGAATTTTTTTACCAACTTGGGTCGTTTGTGACGTTGATAAGATGCCTGTTTGTCGATCCAATAATAAAAGAATGAGAAATATGGCCTATTTGAGCTCAAGATATACGTAGGTTCCAGGATATTGATCAAAGGTATATTTTCGGGTACTTTTTGCGTATCGTAGAACGACCGACTGAAGCTGAGTACGGTTTAATAATCAGCGACAGGTACTCGAATAGTAAGGTTGTAAACTGTCACCAAATGAGGTTATTAGGACATTGAGCGATATCAGACGGTGTAGAAGTAGGTTCAAGTAAACCTAGGCTTAACCAAACTGAAATGTGCCATAAATCTCTAGAGTCACTGACCACTGATCAGAATGATGTTGTTCGATGAAGATGGTTGCAGTTTAAATTAAAAGTAACTAGATATTTTAGAGGGTATAAGTCTAGAATCGGTCACACTGGTGTAGATTCACTTACTCTTTACACCTACAGGTCTGTGAATAAAAAAAGGATGGAAAATAGAATGCATGCGCCTGTGTTTATGTCATAAAGTGCTTAGGCGAAAGCTTGACTATTATTGGTATGCACGTAACGCACGAGAGACAGTCCATTGTGGCAAATACGTTCATGAGAATAGCGGCCATCTGCACTCAGTAATATATCTGCCACTAATACTTCTACTACATCTACCAAATATGAGATTGGAATTGCATCTCTGTGCTTTTGTGGCATGGTAACATGAACTGATGTACGTATGTACGAAATTCTGCGTTGTAGCTGACTGACTGATCGTAAGCATTTGATAACTTTTAAAATAATGAAACATTCTATCAATAATATAAAATTTGATCATTAAAAACAATGTAGTTAACAATATATTTCCATGAAAAATTGCACATCACTTACCATATCAGTACCTAAATCAATGCATAAAATTGTAATTGTACCCAATGGTAATGGAATATCAGCTAAAATATACACCAAAAATGGTGTAATCTCTGGAATATTCGATGTCAATGTGTAAGCAATGGATTTTTTCAAATTATCAAATATAATACGACCTTCTTCAACACCTGTAACAATCGATGCGAAATTATCATCCAATAAGATCATATCAGCTGCTTGTTTACTAACATCACTACCAGCGATACCCATTGCAACACCTAATTGATAATAGGGAATAGAAAAATAAAACAGAACGAAGAAATGAGAAAATAAGTAGTGAAGTAAATAAAGTGTGAAATTTATCAAATAACGATAATAATACTACATTAAATTATTTATTTAAAAAGGTGATTGGCATTTGAACAAGGTGATTACATATCATCACGCCAATTCACCTGTTAGAAATCCCAACGGTAGCTGCTTCCTTGACATGGTGATCGGATATGCCTATCATGATGAACCAACCGAGCTAATAATGGCTGGAATATATGTTCCTTTAGGTCCTACCATACCAGGAAGGTCGATGGAGAACGGTTAGACTAAAGGCAGCAAGGTGTGAGAGCAGTAGGGTATCTCCATCGAACGACCAGTATCTATCTACAGCGCTGCTTCCTCAAGACGGAAGGAATGGGTTAGAAAAGTTCGGGCCTAAAAATATCCCACCTCATTTTACTCCACGGATTTTCGTCTCCGATGTTAAGGATTTTTGAAGAGAGGATAAACAAGTCGACAACTTCCAATAGGAAAGCCGTGCGTGACTGGCCTAAAGCAGTTGCCACTTTGGCTCTACAATCACGCTCTCCGGTCGTTAAGACCAACGCTAATTCAACTTTCCTTTCATATTCCTCAAACTGACATGTTACAAATAAATATTTTCAATAATGCATTGTAATTGGTTCAATATGTATTAAACGAAAGATACACAACTATCTGTCCTCTGCGAAAAAAAATCTTTGTCTTAGAAAATTCATTCAAGGCTAAAGGGAAAGAGGAAGACAAAAGAACACATTACACTGGGAACTGAAAGCAAATATGAAAAGAATGAATAGCAGTTAGAAAAAAAAGACCCATGAAAAAGTAGGTTGAAGAATGCTGGTTGGCAGTCTATGCTCTACGAGGAGTAATAGGCGTAAGTAGTGTTTAAATTGGCAGTGGTTGTTGTTGATTTATTTCTTTTTGCTGACATTAAAGTAGCTAATCTTTAAGATTTCAAATGGAACTAGTTTATGTCGGAATGAATTTCAGAAAGAAGTGATAAAAATCTCTAGATGCTCTTAAGAATCTGAAAAGATTCTATCTAATCGCAATTCAATAGAATTTCTAGAATATCAATGTGGCAAATCGTAACTGGACAGTTGTGCAAACAATCCTTGTATATTTTGACATTTATCACAGTAAAATCACTTATTCTGTTCTGTTGTTTTGATTTCAGACTTGGAGTTGCTTACCATATGATGTAAGACAAATGGACGATGTACATACATACTGTTTAAAAATTCAACATTGACTGATATTAACCTAATTTAAATTCAAATTTGAACTAACAGACAAACTCGAAAACAAACAAAACGATGTGTAAGTGAAACGATTTCACACATACTCACACGCATGAAAAGTAAAAATTATTATCTCATTCAAGTCATACTTACCAATATCAGCTTGTTTCAATGCTGGACTATCATTAACACCATCTCCAGTGACAGCTACAATTGCACCTTGTCGTTGACAACCTTCTACTATAATTAATTTTTGTTGTGGACTAGTACGTGCAAATACAATTTCTGAATGATTAATTAATATATCATCAATTTGTGCTGGAGTCATTTCACGTAAATCTGAACCATGTATTACACATGCTTGTGCATCACGTGGATTAACCTAAAAAGTGAAAATTTACATAAATGAAAACAACCAATTCATTATAACAAATCTGAAAAAAAAAAAATATATATATATGTATGTATATACACGTTGATAAACAAACACAATAGAACATCGTGATTTCTTTTTGACTAAAATACTTTGACCTGAAAACTGCATACATTTTAACCTTGTATGCTGAACAAGTGTAACGAAACGTAAAGAAAAATCAGTGACTTATTAAAACAACGAAAAGAAATTCATTATGGTTAGACTATTTTATACGAAGTCGTAGATGCTAGCCTTATGGCCTAACCTTTCACCTTTATCTGAGGTTTGGACCAGTAGACTAGAAGTAATGTAAGAAGCTTTTCAGGTGAAGGATCGAAAAACACATGACCCTGGGAATAGGAGACGGAGATCAAAAGGATGAATAGCTTTTTGCAGCTTTCCGAAATGAAGAACCTAGTAGGGAAGGTAAGTTGGAAATTGCTGGTCAGCCACAGACAGCTGACCATCTTCCACGGGGTAGAGAGTGAGTAATCTAGTCCAACATAAGGATGCAACAACTGTCGATTCTTCCATATTAACCCAGATTAAATTGATATCTCACAAATACTCTCTACAGATTAAAACAATATCTCCAAAACTGTATTATTCTAGTTTTTCCTCGATTAAGTGAACTATATACATAAGCGTGTGTGTGTGTGTGTGATTCAGAGTAATTGCTCAGCCAAGGACATTGTTTATTGACTTAGTAATTCAGACCAAAATCTATTTAGCAGTTATTGCCTGAACGAAATATACTTCAGAGGAGGTTAAAAGTCATGATTAATATTCTAAGAATCACAATTCGACTCCGCGTTAGGCAGTCAGACTTAGGAGCTTCGGTCTCGCTCGCTAAAGCTTAGTCTCTTCACTACTATGCCGGAATTCAGGGGTGGTCTAAAGGTTAGGTGTTCGAGCATGAAAACGGAAATTCTTGCTTGCAGTATCACGTGTGCACTCTGCTGATGATTTCTATGCTAAGAAAAAACGGATATCCACTATTTCCAGGTTTTCAGTAGTGATCTAATTAGTTCAGTTCATGATTTCAATGAAACTCGATAATCTGCACGCTCCAAATCTAGGAATAATTGTCTGGATCTTGTCCAGATTGTCTAGATACAATAGACATTTTAGGCGTAAGAGAGATAGTTTGTAGCTTGTAGTGGAATACAGGATGCAGGTTTCATCCTATTTATTTGGAAGCAACAGTATGGTGTGCTCTGTACCAACTCTGCGATTCATGTAAATACAGTCGACAAATTCCAATGAGAATGAAATGCACATTGTGGATCCTATATTGCTAACCAAATTCCATCTATTGCATATGAAATTACTTATTTATATTTCTTTTCATGTTGTTCAAAAAAAAGAGAAAATTTACCTGACGAACTGGAATACCACGTTCTGCAGCAATATCTTCTACAGTTTTAGAATTTTCTGAAATTATTCCAACACCTTTAGCAATAGCTTTCGCTGTAATTGGATGATCACCAGTAACCATGATAACTTTAATTCCAGCTGATCGACATTTTGCAACTGCATCTGGTACTGCTGCACGCGGTGGATCAATCATAGACATTAAACCGACAAAACGTAAATTGGTTAAAGGGAAATTAGGTTCATCCACATTGAAAGGATAACCTCTAAAATTATTAAATAAATAAAAGAATAATGAAATGTATTATAAAGGAACAAACCAAGAAAAAAAAGAACAATTTTCCACGAGAAAAATCCGAAAAGCAACGAAAATAATTCACTACATTGATGAAATGTCTTAATTCATATTGGAGGATAGATAATTAACAAGATGTAGTAATAATGGTAGTTGAAAATAAGTGATAACTTCAATGAATGACATTGATGAGATCATTTTGAGGCTAGAAAACGAAAGTAAATTCAGCAGAAACTAAATTTCTGTTGGTCACTTAAAATTATCACAATCAGTGATTACGCAACAGCACAACTAACCATGTATGTGTAAACTGTTTCGATCAACAAAGATGACAAATTGATTCCATGTTCTAGTTTGATCACCCCTTAACCGGTTACTAATTCAACTCACATATCCATTTAGGTTGTTTTGTAAACAATACAATTCTCAAAAACGTCAGTTCATTAATCTGACAATTTATATTCAATCTCAGCATTATTCACCTAGAAGCAATTACTTGGAAGATACCATATGAATAAAAAAACATGCAGTCTATTCATATCTCCTAGAGTTAGTTATACAGAAAGAAATACTTTACAGTATGTTCATGATTATTCTCTGATATGTCTAAGATTTGAGACGCCAAGGTCAGGAACAAGTAAAATACGTGTTAGTTCTTCAACATCACGAACAACTATCTCTAGTACTATGGGAGTTGAAGTGACTATTGCATCTCTGTGCTAATGTGGTATGGCAAATTGAACTCATGCACATACATACGAAGTTCCACTTTATAACTGACTGATTGACAGTATTTATTATTCTTTGTATCTTTATTTGTGAAAGATTTCAACTAGAAAAGATATCAGACCGCAAAATAATCTTAATTGGATTAGTATTATAAATTTGAATATAATTCAGTAAACTGTGTCCATGATGTTGGATTCTGTGCATTGTCCAATACTTTCTGGCTTTTCAATAGTGAACTAACAATCCAACCGAAATCAACAATCCATAACTCTATGATGAAAAATTATAAAACTGTTCTTACGAGTGACTAGCTATGTGATAAAATTCAAAGAGGTTCTACTAATGAGAAGCAGTGATCAGTGAGGTTCAAACATGTCAGGTATAGGTAATAAATAACTATCGAAGATAAATAGGTGAGGATGCTCAATACCTTAGATTGATCCAATTTAGACATTTACACCGTTGGATGCTGGCTCAGTGATCTAGAAGTTAAGCGTTCGCACGCGAGATCAAAGGTCGGGGTGGATGCGCAATGCTTAAGAGTCACATACTACGACAAAGCGACTGTGCAGTGTGCTTCCAGGTTTCTTTCTAAAAGTGGTCTAATAATGACCGATGTATGCTTTCAATAAAAACTCAACAATCTTCACAATACTATAATAATAATAATAATTCATAAATATATATTTAATAATTTACTTTTTATAAACATCTGATGGTAAACGATAATCACAAAAACCTAAAACTCTTTCACCCATTCCACCAAGTTCTAAATAAGCACTATTGAAATTTTCACGCATTGTTTCATCCATTATTTCTTCTTTACCATTAATTAAAATGGTTCCACAACGATCAAGTATACGTTCAGGTGCACCTTTCATAACTAGCAAATATCTATCATCACTATCATTAGTTTCATGAATGGATAACTGGAAAGAGAAAAAAAATTTTTGGAAAGATTGGATTCTTGATGAATTAATCTAGAATAGTTGCGAAATTAGAACAACACAGATAATAGATCTGTATGAGGCTTTAATCTCGGTCAATCAGTTAGTTACAACGTAGAACCCTTGGTACGTACGTACGTACGTACATAAGTTCAAGTTACCATAACATATGAGCGCAGAGAGATGGAACTGTTAGTCCAAATCTCATAGTAGTACAGGTTGTAGCAGTATTAGCAGTAATGAAAGAGATTAAAGTTCGAATGTATTATTCAAGAAGTATATTTCAGTGAAATACATTTAAAAGGAGAGACAAAATGATGATGAGGAATTCAGACAACGTGGCTCGTCGAGATAGTCGTTGGTTAGGGAGACGCAACTCATGCCCAACCATTTCAACTGATCAAGATTCACTACTTGATCAACTGATCTACCAGCCTTACATAGCAATACCCTTTTTCTAACACCAGCATTGTTAACTCAGTGGTCCCAGGATACACGAGCAATGCTTTGAAGACACTGATGCTCAAATACTAGTAACCTATGAATATCCTCTACTCTTACTGGCTATGTTTTACAGCCATAGAATAGGGCGGAGCGAACCGATGCACTGTAGGCTCGTCCTTTGGTTGGTAACAGGATAATCTCGCCTACGCTATAAATGATGTAAGCTGGCGAAAACCAGTCGAGCCTTCCATATCTATGTCGAGATTCGGTCATACACTATGCCGTCAAGACTGATGAGACTCCCAAGATAAGAGAAGCGCTCAAAGGCATTACTCTAATCATATTTAAATGCATATATATGTAAAAATTATTGAAATCAATCAAGGGCAATTGTTGAGTTGAGTGACAATAGTAGAATAAAATTTAAAAAAAAGTACAAGTTGTTATAGAGTGATGATGACAGATGTACTGATTGTTGATAAAATTATAGTAAAGCCTAAGGGAGTAGGTCAAACAGCTTGGAAAACTAGACGCTAGAATAAAATTCATTAGAATTATAGATTGCATAAAAAGAAGTGTTCAGGTTATTGGACAATGAGACGTATATTTAATAAAAACAAAAAGTAAAAGAGGGTGTATGAAAAAAAATAAGTGAACAGATAAAAAGTATGGAAAATAATGATAAACGGAAAATTAATCAAATTGTTAGTAGTTAAAGCCAATTAAGCCAAATAGGAGAAAGAGCAATCACGAATTACCTATGAACACAAAGTCCTTAAGTGTTAGCGTAAATGCCCGATAAATTCTAATATGTGTAGCAGACAAGATCGAATCCAATTATAAGAACCGTTAGCTTTACGATAAATTACTTTGAATAATTTAATTTCTAAATAATTTTATGACCGTTATCGATCACAGCAAGATATTAATTAGTTAGACAGTGAACATATGCGCGCATGGCCATATAAGAGCATTTCGAGTGAGAGAGAGAGAGAGCTGTACCAGGGTATTTGAGGGCCTATACTAAGATGCAACAGACGTCTACCATTTCCACGTTTCCGATAGTGGTCTAAAATTATTTAATTCATGATTTCAGCAGAAATAAACAGATTATTTTTTTAATATTGTTTAGCTAAAACAAGCCAAATCAATCAAAAAAAAGATGAACAACACATTATATACAATTTACCTGATATTTATTTGTAGAATTGAATGGAATTTCAGCAATTTTTGGATTTTTACGACGATATTCTGTAACACCACCAAATGATAATTCAACACATTTTAATAAAGCTGATTCTGATGCATCACCATTACATTCACGTTTCAAAACTGGTTTATTTTCTTCACCAGCTTTAAATTCAGCACGATTGCATAACATACCAATACGTGCTAATGCTATCCAAGTTGGTGAATTTTTATCATATGTAGCAACTATAATAATAATAATAATAATAATAATAATAATAATAATAATAAGTAGAGGGAATAGGTTATTGATGAGTGATAAGTAGTAGAAAATTAAATATATATGATCAATGGTTAAAACGATTTGTAAGGATTGCAGAAACACAAATTGATTTTAGCCAGACTATCGCGGAAAACTCGGAACTTTTCAGTGGTTAGGCATTAATGCGCGAGACTGAAGTTTCAAAGTTCGATTTATTAATTCTGGGTTATGGATGTGTATTGCTGAGGAGTTCCGGTAGTGGGTAAAATGATCGCAATGTTTTCAGGTTTTCAATAGTGGTCTAGCTAAAGGAGGAATGCTGGGCTCGGGATTAGCGACCCTATTCCGTAGAAAACCGACTTGCTAACAAAACACTAACCAGAAAAAATAAAAATAATAGAATCGATTAAAAATGTTTAGGGAGTTTAACTTGAAGGTTCGACCTCTGGTGGGATTGTGGATACGAACTATTAAAGAATAGCAGTATACCAGGACGAGTGCTTTTCAGACGAAAACGAAAGAATATAGTTTTAAATCGAAGTTTTCATAACCCTTGTGGTAGCTAAGCGTTTTATGAGAGTACATAGAACGTGAATTTAGGCTAAAATGACAACATAAGGTTCAACAGTATTGTACTGAAGTGTGGCAGTATAGCAAGCTGTTTCATTCAAACTACCAGAATCCGTAGAGATATCACCTTCAAATAACGGAAAACTCGGGTTAGAATACGTTCACTTTAAAAACAACTCATTTCATCTTGCTACACAGTTTTATATCGTCAACGGTTAGACACTGAAAGTACGAAGACAGCTCATCTAAAACTGAAAGAAAAAGCCAGTGTGTGACTGGCCTCAGGTAGTTCTTGTTTGAGCACGGTGGTCACATTCTCAGGTTCGCAAGACCGCTCAACATTGTCTCCTTTTATCAGTACCTTAGTCAGTAACCTTTCTTACAGTGTAGGGAACTGGGAAGTGGTCACGGACTCCATACTTTAAATATCATTTAATATCACCTTGGTCTTAAGATGATTGCCTTAATATTTACTGTCTTATCTTTCGTTACAGAAAGTTAATTGAGTACTTATTTAGACAAAACCTACATAATAAATTACATTGTTATCTACAGTTCCAACAATACTAAAACTTATAACTAAAAAGCAATCTAATCTACAGAATTCATTCACAGTGCAAAAACATCAATAGAAACCGATCAATTGCAGTTCAATATTACGAACAACGTCAAAATTTAAACTCTTACCATAGAAAATGAATGATGAGTTTAATAAGAGAATTAAGCATAGCAAAGAAAAACTACATCCTATATGCCCTCCTATCTTACCTGATTGATCATCAGTAGTATCGGCATCAAATATTTTATTATCAAACCACATATGTGCAATTGTCATACGATTTTGTGTTAATGTACCAGTTTTATCAGAACAAATGGTACTTGTTGATCCAAGTGTTTCAACAGCTTCTAAATTTTTCACTAGACAATTTTTACTTGCCATACGTTTAGCTGTTAATGTTAAACATACCTAAAAAAAAAATTGATTTGTGATATTAAAAAAACAAAAGAACGATAAAAAGTAAATCGTGAGATGATGTTTTTTAATGTGAAAACAAACGAGAATCTGTAGACAGTATAAGTTATAGTTTGATCGTGGTTAAGATGCCTGTCTGGTTTAGACATCGCAAGAGTGAATATTTATCAACTCATCCGAGATTCAACTAACAGTCTTCAAATTTCAAAATGAATGCTTCACAATTGGAAAAACTATCAGAATAATGGTGAATGATTATTGTAACGTCAAGTCTTATCAATTTGCAATATGGTAAAATAATGAGAAAAGCATTCAAGTGCATCACAAGACTAGCAGCCCTCAAGATCAAAGAATGCATCAGCCTGATAATCGGAAGTAGACAAGGGAACGAATAGTAAATGGATAGATAGAACTGGAAAGGGTAAGTTGGATAATGTTGGTCGGTGGCCTACGCTTCATCAGAGGTAACAGGATTAAGTAAGTCAGTAAATATGACAATCACCAAATATATCTTGGTTAATAAGTGTTTAACTTTCAACAAGTCTAAACTGAACTAGTCATGAGTTCTAACAACAAATCACACACAATAGAATTCTAGAATGATACAACTGACCAAATAATAAACGATACATTATGGTGTTAACTTAATTTCTAAAATGAATGTATCCACATACAAGTAGCACAGTTTGAAATGAATTTATTTTTTTTAATGAATAATTGTACTGTCTACTATAATACCTTTTTGTAATAACAACACAAGTAATTTCTGGCAGATGATTTCACAAATTAAAATTACAAAAAAATAAAAATTAGGTTATGCAATCGGTCTGAAGGTTAATTAAATATTTGTTTTATTTGGTCACGAATTGATTGACATGTGTACACTAGTCATTTTTGATTTTGAACAAACTATGTCAAAGACGTGTTATTTCATGGAATTTAATTTAAATTCATGTTACAACTGAGACAAACAGCACCCATAACATAACATAACATAATAGAAATGATCATGAAGAAATAGAATGTCAAAGTTAATAGTCAGTTTTAATTATTTAATGATGAAGAAATTCGAAAATAATGAGTTTGATCAACAGATAGAGAGAGGGAGAGAGAGCAGGAGAGCTATGAATGCCTATTGGTGGATATGATACTTAGGAAAAAGGTTTTTTGTTGTCTCGTTCAACGATTGTCTGTGAGATACGCACAATATATATAAATATATATACCACAGAAATCATGAATCAACGATTGTTAGACCAACATTAGAAACCTGGAAGCACTGAAGGAACGTTTCGCCCCGATATGGGACTCATCAGCAGAACGTAAAAGTTCAACCTCTGCATCACTGAGCCAACTGGTATCCAACGCTGTTGACGTCATTCAGCATGTAGATATCACTTCAAAGTCAGCAGTACAGACTTTACTGATGAGTGATGGTAGAATGCATGAGGTTATATATACACGAACGACATCATTTGTCAAAACTCATTGGTGGATATGACAACACCATATACCACTAAAAAACCTTAGCGAATATGTTGTATTTATGGCAGTGATCTTTTCTCTATAGATTTTCATAATCCAAGTGGCACGTGAGCAATGCGATTGGTGTACAGGGAGTTAGAATGTGAAATGAGCCAATGCAAACACAGCATGTCACACTCCGCGAAAATCGAACACACGCTTAAAGAAAGTTAAATCGATAATGAACGTGTTTATTTAGTAAAAGAATAAATCTAACCACGTTTGCACAGTTCAGTTGTGAAGGCGAAGAAAAAATAAAGCGGTATAAACAACAACACTTACAAAAAAGACTGTTAAATAACAAAGTGATCCGTATACAAAAATAGAACATAACCACCTTTTTTCCGGTAATAAAAACTACAGATCTTTATTATTAGGTTTTCACATTTCTTTTTTACTAAGTATAACTCAGTGAGTTGATATATTATTCGAGATTTTTGTGAAGTATGAAAACTGTTGAAATTTAAATTCGATTAGGAATTATAAATTGTAAACTGTCATGTAGCCTAATCGTAATTTCGAAAAGAAACTCCCTAAGAAGATGTAAATAAGATGATTACCTTTGGCAGAGTAATGTATGAGAATTATTATAGAAACAGTGTTGTACTTTTTAAAAATTTATACAGATAGTTAATTTAATCAGAATAAAACTTAAAGAAATCTGATCGTTCACAGCAGACTTAATCTTGAATACGAAATGATTAAAGTTTTCTTATTTAGTTAGTTAGAGAGATTACAATTTTAGTCACTGGTTTAAATGATTAATATCTAAATACAGTATGTTTAGTGTTAAATGTGATTAGATAGTAATATCTAAACTTTAAAAGATGATTGACACTTCTCAGTATGAAATCATTTTCAATCCTGGAGGAAAAGAAGGATCACTTATTTTCGTTACAAGAAAAAACATAGTCGATTGATTTATTTTAACATAAGTCAAATAGAGTTGATAAATATTAAACATCATGGAGAATCCAATTTTGTCGATTGATTAAACAATGTAACAATATATTGTTTATATTAAAATGTACTTAATGGTAGAGAAAAATATGGAGTTTAGGTGAATGATTGTGATGGAGTTTCGTTCTCTAGGTTGGATATTTTCGTTGTGGAGCTTTCGTTTAAACGAACAGTTCTTTTGAAGGTAGATACGAAAATTATTTTGATTAAATAATGAAGAATTTAGAAAAAAAACTGTTGGAATAATAGACATAATCTTAGCTTCATCCTGCTCCAGGGATGTGAAACATGGCTAGTAGGAATAGAGGATATACGTAAGTTACTACTGTTCAATCACAGGTGTCTTCGAAGCGTTGCTCATACATCCTTGGACCACCGAGTAAGCAATGCGAATGTTAGGAAAACGGTACTATAAGCCGATTGATGTAGTGAATCTTCAACAGTTGAGATGGCTAGGACATGTGTTACGTAAGCCCAACCACTGACCGCCTCGACGAGCGATGTTGTCTGATGTAATGGTAGGTGGGAAGAAAGCTAGGAGCAGTCAGACGAGTACGCGAGACATTACTAAGCGATAGTTAGAGACTTAGAGTGACATGGCCTAAAATCATTTGCAATGGTGCAGATGCATCCACTCTTTGTGTCCTCTCAAATTCAAATCTTCCGAATTTTTTATCACCTCTTTCTTCCTCTTCTACTATCTCTACTATTATGGGATTTGAATTGACGATTGTGTCTCTGTGTTGATGTGGTTTGGCAACCTGGACTGATGTACGTACTTACGAATTTCTACGTTGTCACTGACTGACTGACTATTACCTTCTATCTACATGCAGATATGAATAATTTGACAGAGGGAGAGAGAGAGAAGAGAATAAATTGGATAACACCAACGGCAAACAAAAGAAAGAAAAATTACGAATGAGGAGAGAGGTGATTAGTTGTAAATTAGCTAAGCAGAAAATAAAAAAATTCTCCATTAAAAAATTATGTAATCAAACTAGTTAGTTAGACAAATGGTTAAAAATGTGAAATTGTTAAATTACCATCTCTTTTATATTATATAATATATTTTAGATTAAATTCGAAGATCTCATTTTTATTATCTAGAAATAAAATTGAACAATTGTTTTAATTTTGCTATTGTAATTTAAAATTTAATTCTATAAAAAAATTGTTAAAGCTTCATATAGGATATTTTCAATGTAGGCGTTTGAGCGCACGGCTGATGGTCTTGGGTTCGAATCCTGGGAGTTGTGCAAGTCATGAATGCGCACTGCTGATGAATCCCATACAAGGAAGAAATGGCCGTCAAGTGCTTCCAGGTTTCTAATGGTGATCTAACACTGATCGATTCATGATTTTAAAAAGTAACCCAATAATCTCCACAACCCTATCATGTAAATTATTTTATTTTAGGTATTTAACTGTTCATTTCGGTTACATCGAGATCGAGGAAATAGTTCTGGTCTCACATATGGACATCGATAAATTGACCAAAACTGTTCAACAGTTCATTTCGAAGTACCCTACATTTGTTAAACATATCTAAAAATATAAAACGTATGCCTAAACTGCAGGTGTTTGATCATAGATATTTTCGAAAGATTACTCAAGTATGCTGAGACCAATAAATGACCAAAACTGCGATTAGATAATCTTTCTAAAAATTTAACTTTCAAATGAATTGGTCAAGACATGTGTAACGTATCTCTGATCACCACCTAAGTGGATGGACAATTTCAACTAGTGTATAGTCACGTTGGAAAAAAGCTACAGGTGGTCAAACGAAAACATGATATCAGTCATCGAAGTGATCAACTGTCGGACTGAACCATATTGGCAGATACAAACTTATTTTTTGATGAGATTTATTCGATGGGTGGTTATAGAAGTTGGGTAATAGCTCAGTATTGACCACATTGTTGTTGATACGTTTACGTCTTATCTTTTTAAATATTCATCGTGTTGATTTTTTGGTTAGTATCATTTTATCATGTGCTTACAGCAATCTAGGTCAACAACACATATATTGTACTAAACTCTTAGTTGGCTATGACTTATTGATACTTTTGCAAACATTAAGAAACTTAGACAAACAATGACCTGATGATTGTCATGATTGAATCATTAAACGTGAAAAATGTGATCAGAAAAAAAAAACAAAGTTATAGTGACATATATGGTGTTGCATCAGTTGACAATGAATGTATGTCAATATGACCGAAATTGAAGGATGCCACCGAACATTTCTAGCCATAATCACGATGACATCAAGTGAGTGGTTGGCACGTATGTCTAACCACCGACTGCCTCGATAAGCTATGTTTCGTGGTGTAAGAGTAGGCTGCAAGAAAGCTAGGGGAGGCCAAACCATAACATGCCACGAATCTATGAAGTCACTGACAACTGCACTGAGCCAAGTTAGTAGGTGCAGACTACTTGGTTGGGGTACGCGAAATGATAATAACCGATGGTTAGAGACTTTGAGTGACATGGCTGAAAGTCATTTGAGATGGCGCAGGTGCATCCACTCTTTGTGTCCTCTTAAATTATAATCTTCTGATTTCCTCCTCTCCGCTGTACTCTGCTTTGTTTCACAGGATTATGCTTCTTGAATAATATCTTCGAACTTTAATTTTCCCATAACCCCTAATACATTTGCTATCTCTACTACTATGGGTTTGAATTGACAAATACGTCTCCGTATTAGTGTGATGGTGTAGTGCCTCCACATATATTCGAGTTCGCTTACATTTGATTTGGTAAAGCCCTTTCGATTAATTTATTTAGCCAAGCCTTTGTATTGCAACAATTTATATGTACCGTTCGTTCTTATTATTGTCTGGTTTGTATGAGCTCACATAACGTGTTCCACTTGTTATTTGACCTTGTCAACTATTTGTCGCTTTTATTTATCCGTGTGCATGCCTATTTCGCTTGTCGCATGTCTGTCTTATATTTGTCTGACTATATATTCTTAGTCATGCTCTATCTCTTGGAGTTGGTTCATTAGCCTTCTCCAACGCGCTTCGCCTATTCATTCGCTTCCTTCGCACATTCGCTCGCATTGTAATCCTGGGAGTTGGCTCAACAGACTTCTCCAATTCACGTTGCTTCATTCGTTTTATTGACTGCTTCATACGATTCGCTTCAGTCGCTCTTCACTCGCCAGTGTACACACAAATGGTGATTCCGACGTTTCCAAAGCAGTAAATTGGCCACCACAATGGGGCAACCTGGACTGATGTCTGTACGTACGAAGTTCTACGTTGTAAATAACTGACTGACTGACGGTTCAACATGGCTCAATCTGATGGTCAATCACTGTATGGGAGAATTTCATGTTTCTGTCTAATAACCTTTCGAGTTCTTTGAAAATACTTCCTACGGCATTTAGAACTATTCATGCAGATATACAATTGCAAATGAATGTATAATATTGATCATGGAACAGAAAATTAGTGTAAAATTTGTTGCCTATCAATATAGCTTAGTTCAATGGGATTGATTTTTAAACTTTAGCTTGGCTTAACTTATGCATCAGTAGTTAGTTATTTTTATTAAGTAAAGAAATATTTTTATGAAGATTATTGAGTCCCATTGAAGTTATGAATCGATCATTTTTAGACCACCATTAGAAAGAAACCCGGAAACACTAGTCCTAGTATGGGACTCACCAGCAGTGCGCATCCATGATTCCCCGGTCGCATGAATCGATTCCAGGACCTTCAGTCTGGCGCACCAATGAACCGGCACCCAACAGTGTTAAGGTCTAACTTTGATCAATATAAAGATTGCGCAACCTCACCCAATGTCTTCGGTAGTTACTACCTACACCCAACAAGGGTTGAACTCCATTAGTCATGTGGTTTCTCATGAAGCTAATCACTAGTAAGCACATTTTATAATTTTTCAATGAAGATTATTCTGTTTCATAGAAGTTATGCTTATCAATCAAGGATAATCAACATTAACCAAATATAACTTTGTCAAACAAATCAAAGATTGATATTATAGCGATATCATAATAATCAAGAAGAAACATGTGCCACTAAGGAGGAAATTAGAAAATTAACGGTACCCAATCACATATGACACAAAAATAGCAAACTGAATAAATCAATAGAATGCATTAATAGTACTCACTGTCACAGTAGCTAATAAACCTTCAGGTACATTAGCTACAATGATACCAATTAAGAAGATGACAGCTTCAAGCCAATGATAACCCAAAATGAATGCAATCACAAAAAATGAAACACCAAGAAATACAGCGACACTTGTAATTAAATGAATGAAATGATTAATTTCTTTATTGATTGGTGTTTGACCAATTTGTAAACCAGAAGCTAAATTTGCAATACGACCCATTACAGTACGATCACCAGTACTAACAACTATACCACGACATGTACCTAAATAATGTGAAAAAAAAATGAAGACAAACAATTTTAGATAAACATTTGAATGTATTTATCCGTAAAATAAAAAGCTTATCGGTAATTAGTAACGTTGAAATCAATGCGAACAAAAAAGCCAGAGAGAGAGAGAGAGAAAGACGTAAGCTAGAATTGTTGAAATGGACGAAATTTGTGTTATACGAGAATGATACCGTGATAATATACATTGGATAGAAACAGCACTCTCATTTCATTTAACCAGTATGTTATCCGTATATGTAGATTATATAATAACTCTGACACCATATACTGTTCGATATCTAAAGTACTTAGTTTCCAATGATTAAAGTCTTATCTTTAAATACAGACGTCTTATCTGTCTTGGTACGTAAAACCGAAAAATACAGCCCTCTTTAATACAAAGTGCGGTTTGAAGCTGAATAGATAAAACTATTACTGAAATCATGAATCAATCATTGTTAGTCCACCATTAGAACAGCACTGGACAGCCATTTCGTCCTGATATGGGACTCATCCGGCGAGTAGCAGGAGTCATGGATGCGGACTGCTGATGAATACCATAACAGGACGAAACGGTTGTCCAGCGCTTCCAAGATTCTAATGTTCGTCTAACAATGGTTGATTCATGATTTCCATAACTGTACAGTGAAAAAAATACAACTATGCTTAATCAGCTAAATTGTGTAATTGAAGTAACGCCCTAAAGTTAGTAGCTAAGAATTTGAATTTCAGTCAACAAGTCTTAGATTCGTAGACCTCTCTACCTACTTCGATTTAGGTAACTGATTGTTAGTCTAACTACTAAGTTTCATATGTTGTGTGGCTAAGTAAACATGCACATACATACCCAGTAAGCAAGGTATGTGAGACATCAAAAATCACCAATTTTATCAACATAATTTAGAGAATGAATGAATTTTTCGCTGAAAAGATTCATTTCCCTTTTATTCATTACCCGTAACATATTTCATTGTAATTCTACACGAACAATAAATCTGATCTCATTATTTGGACGATTAACTAGTATCTTTCTCTATTTTCAAACTACTAGCAGTTATTTATAACTGATCAATCACTGAGTGGTGGTGATCAATGTTATGTTTGTCTAATCCTTTTGGTAATGATCACATGTTATCGATCAAGTTATAATGTTGCCACTCCTAAAATCGACTCAATATCACGTATAAAATGTTGAAATGCTAAAATGTGATTGAAAGTAGTTGGCAAGAAACACTACGTGATTTGAATACGCTTAACCAAACATTTGACAATCTAAGATGTTGTTGACCCACTGAGTATATTCATGCCTAATTTTGTACATATGAAATGAAACATAATATAAAGATTATTTACACGGTATCGATTTAACTAATAGATTTAATATAGCAAGTCAATCAAAATTGGTCGAACGAGGTTGCTAGCATTTGTCCTTTCGGGTGAATGAATAACACTGGTTAAGAAATAGATTCATATCTTAAAGGGAAGAACAGTATACATTGATCAGTGAATATTTATGTATATTATTCGATAGCTGAGTGGCGCTTCTCGTTTACTACTGCCTGCTCTCTCAAGTAGTCGGCTTGGGGGTTAGCACGTACTACATTCAGATCTCGGCCGCCGCCCATCATAATAATATTTATCGCATAATATTGTCAGTATAAGGTTGTGAAGAATATTGAATGAAATCATGAATCGATCAATGTTAGACCACAATTAGAAAATCGGAAACAATGGGTGGTTGTTTCGTCCAAGTGCGGAACTCATCCGAAGTTCGCATCCACAACCCCAAAAGTGCGAATCGAACCGAGAACCTTTGGTCACGTGTGCAAACGAGGGGATTAATTGTGTAATTTCTTTTTATTTATTCATAATGTATTAGAATCTATCAATATTATTAGATTAGATTAGATTACGATTATTAACTAAAAAATTATTTATTTTTACTTTCTAATCAGTAAATAATTTTCATAATCATAAATAAATTAGGCAATAATTCCAGCGAGGATATGATCAAAATAAACCGTTGCTAAATATATATATATATATATATATATAACTACAGGCAAATTATAAGATCAAACCACATAATCTTATAGGATTAGAGTTGATGTTTGGCTGTTAGTTTCACAATCACAGATCAATATATGTACATATTTACAGTAGAGAAATTCATGCCTCCAAGCAACTAGTTTTCAAATGTAGGTCACAAAAAGACAGGATACAAAACGAAAGAAAACGAAAAAAACATACAACGCCTAATCTCAAGAAGACAATGCATATATATGTACATATATTCTTGTATTTATCCCTTGTGTTTTTGCCTTCTTGTAATATGATTTATAGGGGAATTCCATAATGGAATTCCTTGATATTCTTCACTTTTCAATCATAATTAGCACTTGGACTGATCAATAATTACAAATAACATATAAACTGAAGTTTGTACTTTATGAATAAATAGTCTATACAAGTTGACAAAGAATAAAATGAGTTGAATATAGATTTCTACGGTGATTCAGTTTTAATTGTAGAAATATAATAATATAATGACTGGGCAGTTTCTATAAATGAATCACTAATGCAAGACTTGGAAGATTATTATTATTAACTTCGTTTGCTATGTACAAATTCATTTACTTGAACTTTAGGTCACACCCTAAATGAGGGGTAGTGATACTATCCTGTTCATCTTACACAAGTAAGTGGAATAATGTTCGAAATTGAGGCTTAATGGTTGAAAGTTAAAATCTTTAACCGTTTGGACAGTGTTCCATATACTTGGATCATTATTTTACATAAATAGACTTAGGACTTATACAAAACAGATGAGAATAACATGAGACGCAAACACAATGTAGAACCTGATACATGTGCACATTGATTTCAGCTATCACAGTGCATTGGTAGAACTACATAAAAATTACTAAGGCAAATTCCAGAGTAGTGGGAGTAATAACAACAGTATTGGTAGTAAAAAAACTGGGCATACAAAACACAGTTTGACAAGAATAGATGGATCAGCGCTATGAAAAAAAATACTACATGAAAATATAGAAACTCAGGATCTCAGAATAGAAAATAGTAAACAAAGCTGTACCATCGCAAAAGATTTCGAGTCATATTATCCAAAGTTTCTAACAATTGATTAGGATAAGCACATGAAACAAAGTTAGCACGACTGTGCACCGACGTACATGGTTCAAACTAATAATAATTGCTTTAATGGATTATTCTGATGTCTTGGTTTGACCACCTCAAACTTACCTTCAACCTAAACCTGCATCAATAATTATCACACGTCGAGTTAGGTAGTGAATGGTTACATATGATACGTGTCCTTACCATGTTAGTTGATTAAGAGTCACTGACTGATCATCAACTGATTTGTCACACTTACCTAGTCAGTCAGTCAGTTACAACGTAGAACTTTGTATGTACATAGATCAGTCCAGGTTGCCAAACCATACTAACACATAGACGCAATTGTCAATCCAATCCTATAATAGTACAGATAGTAGAAGTATTAACGGTGGATTGTTTAAAAGTTTCAAATTTCAATCGATCAATAACAGGTTTCAATTAATCCGATCTGTCATGATTTAGTCACTCGAATAGTAAATTACTAGCTTTTATGATCAGAGATTGTTATAGTTCAAAGTTCAGTACATGTATCTGTATTTTACCGAGGAAATAAAAGTTATATATATATATATATATATATATATATATATATATATATTAAAGCACAACAGACTAATGAGATTATAATACATATATAGACGACTAACCATCGACAGCATTAGTTGAGAAAAATGCTAAATTCTTTGTTTCCAATGGATTTTCGTTTGTATATTCTGCTGTACGTGATTGCGGTTCAGATTCACCAGTCAATGCTGAATTATCCACCTGAAATAATTTGTTATATTTCAAAGGTAAAAAAGCAAAAAATCTTACCATAAATTAAAAAAAGGAAGATGAGTATAAAATGAGTGAAATCGATGAGAAGACAGACAGGAAAAAAGAAGTGCTCATAAAGGTTGTAATGTGAAGCATTGACTAATTGGATTCAGTCATGTTCGTTAGAAGCAATTATTTGCTGCGCCAACTTATTGGTGTACAGGTTAAGCATGCACGTGCGAGAACTGGAAATTCTCAATGCCATCTTCAGTGGTGTGGTTTTAGATAAGTTCTACTGAACAACAGTACCACATTGGGACGAAATAGATGTTAAATACTCCCTAGTTTTGAACAATTATTCAATTTAAGTCAATTCATGATGATAGTTATGTTTTTATTTGAAAATTCAGTCATATATCTATCCGCGAAACATTTACGTAGCTTCTCTTTTTAACCGATATTCGAAGGATAACCATAAACTTTAAACACAGTTATTGAGGATTTCTGCAGATATTGTAGAGAAAAATTGTTGCTTAGGCGGATGATTCTGGTGGAGTTCTCTGGATGTTTTGGTTATGGATCTTTCATTGTTCTTCGAATTTCTTCAAGGACAAGCCACGAGTTGTATTTGGAGAAGTTCATGCTGATGTGGTTGTTCAGGAGAACAACAACTTCTGCAGAAGGCTGATAACCAATGATATAGCTCATAAGATACTTGCGGGTTTGAGTTATTATTATTATTAAAAGCTTAATTATTGTAATAATGAACTTCTAATTTGGTTCTACATAAACAAATCAAATCAAATCTAATAAATTGTAATGGCATTCGTAAACATATGAGACCGTTATTCTAGATTATAATCTACATATCTGATTTATTATTAGGAAACGATTTTTATTTAATTATTTAGAATGAAATAGTTTGGCATCCAAAGGCTAAAGTATACCCTCAAGACGACTGTCAACAACATTGACAAACAAATCTTCAAGACTTTTTGATACATATACGTATATATAATTCCATTTATACAAAGGTGTTAACTGATTTACTGACGTCAATATATTGCAAAAACTTGAAGATCCTTAATTCCAACCAGTGTGTGGATTGATGTTTCGGACTCATGAACTAAGATAAAATAACCAATGCTTAGTTCGACATCGTTTCCCATGTAATTTTTTACATGATTTTAGTTAGCGATGAACAATTGCAGTTTGAATCGTCTTGTTATTAAATACTGTATAATTGATTAGTTTCATTTATCTTATATATTCCTGAACAGATTACTTCTCTATATTATCTATCAGAAGGACTTTTAGGCAGAAATAGATGGTGTCTACCAATGAAATTTAAGGATGCAAGTTTTTTTTTATCTGATTCGTAAAATTGTCAGTTGAATGTATTTGCACTTTAATGTTCATGATGTTTAGTGTGAGATTCAGTAATGCACTAGGCATTCTAAACAAAAGATACTATTGAAATAATGAATCGATCATTTTTAGATAACTATTAGAAACCTGTAAGCACTGGACAATAGTTTCGTCCTATCAACAATGTGCATCCACGACCCCCGCTGACAGGAATCGAACCCAGCACGTACGGTCTCGCACGAAACGGCCATCCAGCGCTTACAAGTTTCTAATTGTAGTCTAACAATAATCGATTTATTATTTTAATGAATAACTACGAATCTCCATTACTTCATGATGAAAAAAGATTCTATATCTTTGAATATCAGTGTAAACAACAATTTTCAGAGTTTTTATATACATTACCAGCTGATTAATTAATTGACAAAATAGAATTCGAACATGTGACCTTAATTTCATTAGATTGTCATTCGTTATCTCTGTGTGTTTTTTGAAAACAAAATCACTACCAAAATTATCGGCATTAACTTTAGAATTAACCTTAAATAGTAAATGTACAGAGAGAGAGAGAGAGAGCGAGAGCGAGAGCGAGCGAACGAGCGGGCGAGCTAGAGAGAGAGAAAGATTTCATCACAATGTTAGATATCTTATAACTAGAGTAAACAACTTGCATCGGATGAATTCTCCTACTTTCAAAATCGACTAATAATACATCTGATAAGATTTTACCTTAGAAAATAAAAAATAACTATTAAAATTTGTCAGTTCATTTCATTTATTTCATCATATTGAAAGTTTCTAAATAAAAAAAAATTTTTTTTTTCAATAATGATAGACATTAAATGAAATAGTGAAATAATACTTGTTAAATTTGAAAATTATTATTATTATTATTCATACATAATCACATAGGTTATGATGATGATGATGAATGTGATAAATTTGAATAAAACTGTTTATACTGTTTATATATTCCATTGTGATGGCATCATTATTATTGACGGTTTGATACAATTTAGAGCATGATTATTTATAATAAATAATGGTCATTTTTGAGGACACATGAGAGAATATCACTTAGTTGAATAGTTTTTAGTTCAAAGGCGGAATGAAACGGAAGTGGTGAAATTTGTAAATATAGATATAGATATATATATTCATCATCTAAAACAAATATGATTTTTCATAAGGAAAGATTACAAATTTTTTTTTAAAAAAAACTGTATGTATGTGATTAATTTTGCGGGCTTACACACACACACACACACACACAAAGCACATGATATATGTTCGGAATAAATAGTTCCTTTAAGTAGTAGTAGTAGTAGTAGTAGTAGTAGTAGTAATAATGATAACGTTAGTAGTAGTAGTATTAGTAGTAGTATTAAATCATTGAAAAATTGGACTAAAATAAGTTGCTTGACCTGAAAAATATGAAACTAATAATAATTAACACAATCAAGTCATGAAGATAATATTGTGTATGTTCAATGATGACCTAAGTAACCGAATGAAAAGCCTTTTGATAAAACTTTATGTACATTAGAATGATTATGCACGATTAGTTTAAGAATAGTTTTTGTCATAGCGTAATAGTGTATATAGAGAATTACTCAGAATAAACATGGTATTAAGAGATGGACATAACACTGAAGAGTAGTTCTCATAGTTTCCTACAATGTACGAACATTCTATGTACCTATATTGATGATTGCTCTAGTTGTCAGAAGGAGCATCGACCTCGTGACTTCCGAAGGAACTTGGCTTTCATCATGAGACGTTATAACTCTTCTAAATGAAGACCTTCCAAATGCTAGAGCAGAGTTTAAATGGTTTGAATTATTTGTTCTCGTTAGCGTCTTTTTAACGAGTTGGTTTTGTACGGGATTGGGTCACTAACCCCATGCCCGACCCTCCTCGATTAACCGGGCTTGTGACCATCTGTAACCCCAGAGGGCTACAAACGAAATTGCTGAAGAATATTAGTTCCGAATAATGCTTTATAATCGAAGTCAATCAGTAGTTCATGATCAAAGCACTTTTCTAACTTTATACGTTAATAGCATAAAAAAACAAATAAGTAAATCCTATATGAATGATAGACGTGATGATATTGTTTCCCATTTTAGACCAGATTATTCTGGTCTATAAAATATAGAAATTGTTCGGTTGATATTATACATATGTAGTTTTAAAGGGCAAATTGATCTGACCTAGATCAACATCTGAAAGCACATTGGGTGATACTAGAAGACCAAAGGTTCTAGGTACGCTCCTTGGATATAAGGATTGTCATGAGTTCAACACAAGGATGAAACAACCACTTAGTTATTAGACTCTCAGCGATGATTTAGATTAAAATGCTTCTTGTAAAGAAAATCTCTACGAATCTGTCTACATTAATTATATAAATTTATTTTTAAAGTCATTTTCATGAACTCAATTCTTACTTAACAAAAAAGATGCTTTTCAAAAATGTTATGATTGACATTTTAAAGTCATATCATCATCCTACGAAAATCATATTTAATCTGTGTAATCTATTTTTAATGATAATATCCCTTTAGAAAAACTGGAGTTAGTGGAATGAATTTAAAACCTGTATGCTACTAATATTTATTAGAATATTATTATTATTATTATTGGTATAGAGAGGCTCTAGAATAAATATGCAATACACAATTTTTAAAAAAAAGAGAGATTGTGAAAAGTATAAAAGGATGAAACATGAATATCATCAACAACAACAACGCGAACAAAAAAATCAATAAATGAATAAAATCAATGTGAATGACCATAAAACAAAATGATGTGAAAATGGAGTTCAGTTAAGTAGAATAAAACTAGAAACAGATTCTTCATACTCATTCATATATGCGGAGAATATAGGCAAAAATCACAACAGAACTGCCTGATCCATGTCTGATAATATATCTCACGTCCTTGCGTTTCGTCATCTCAAGGAACTCAACTAGGGAGTTGTGAAGGACGAACACGTGTCAGTTGTGTAGAGCTTACATAAACGGATTATTTCTCCACTTTTTTTTGAAACCACTCGTAATGTTGGAAAATCATTCACTGTGTGAAATTCACTTAAACAACAATGCAGTAGAACAGCAGTAAGGCTTATCTTAACACTAATTAGCCTGAATTTAATAAACTAGAACACATATTTTTTTCCATATTCAATGAAATACAAAATTATTTTACAATGATAACTACATATGTAACAAATAATAATAAAATTTTCGTTTTCAATATCTAGTGTGTTTCATTCTACTGACTTTATTGATTTCACAAATTCAAATTCACTTTTACTGATTTGTGTTTACAAATGATAAAAATTAAATTCGCTTTAGATGATTTGCAAGTGTAAAATACTTCGTAAACATTACACTCTTCTAAGTAGTATTGGCCGAGTCAATCTACAAGGGAGTAAAAAACAATGCTAGTTACAGCATTGAAAAAAAGAATAGTTCTCCCCATAGATGTGTTTCAGTTTAGGCAACCAATTCATGTCGCTAACCTTCAGTCGCACACACACACACACACAGAGTAAATTAACCAATTCACTTCATTTAGTAATGTCACTGTATTGTATAGATTTTGGAAAAGTTGTAAGACAAACTACGGTTTAGGATTGCTTTTTTAAAGATTTTTATCAAAACACAATTATTAGTACAAAAGAGCACCTAAATATTTATGCACCATACATATCGATGAATTTTTGAGTAGGCTGTGATATTACCTAGAAGCCTAAACCAAAAAAGGTGGGTTTATTAGGCCACTCAAACAGCCATTGACCTTAAAGTCTAATCCACAAGACAGTGGAGCAACATCAAGCGATGCAGTCGTAGCTTTTGTGCACCATTGGTTCGGAATCAGGGTTTTTAAACTCCTCTAAGTCAATCATCCTCCATACCCGGCAGTCTAGTTTAAAACCGTGGTCAGAAATGTACTTTTTGTCCTCTCAATTTCATGAAGAACGCCTGTGATACAAGAACAAACGTTTTGTTATAATTTATTGGCTATACCTTTTTTTTTCTCAATCGACGTCAATGTAAATTAAGAGACAGATTTTGGAACTTATGAAATTAAGGAATATGAGATTATAATTTATGGTTGATGATGATCATTCAGTGATATCAGAATGACCAGGAAACTCGTCTACTTACTAGAGTGTAGAAAAGGTTCTGAATTAACGGAAAAAACTGGAATTAGGAGTTGGAGTTTTCGTCACGAATCGACATCAACTATAATACCAAAATGTTATTTAACTATATAGGATAGAGTGAATTTCCAGTCAAAATCGTTAACTCATTAAATTAGATCTGATTCACTTGTCCATAAATTATAATCACATCATACAGGTTACTTACAACAATAACTGAATAGACTAGATAATGGAACTTGTGTTATTAGTTGTTTTTTTTTGTTTTACAATGACATTCATCCTGAGATGTAGGTAGGTACATCCAATTAGAGACACGTCCTAACTAGGATCAAAACGCACTTCCTGAATTCCACTGTTAACCTGTATCCAATCCCAACTAATTACCTTATCGATTTGAAAATTCATATTGATATTCTGTTAAAACGTATCAACTGAAACAGGCTTGTTAAGATATTGATTTAGTTTCTTGGATTATTATAGACTGGAAAAGTCAATTATTGACAAAATATTTTAAAAATTAGGGTTTTCTTTTTTTTCATCCACAAAAAAAACCTCCAAACCAACTTTTCTTGTTAGTAACTTTTTTTTTTAAAAATAAACATGACTTGACAAACTTTGCATGTAGATATTTCATATGTAGTGAGTAAAATATAGAATTATGTATGTTTTTGATTAGTTTATAACTGAATGACAAATTTTTATAAGTTTTCAATGATGACATGTTAAGACTAAAAATGATCTGTACTAACTAACATCATAAATAGACATTCATTTCACTTATATTTCAAATAATTAATTATAATCCATAAGGATTAATTTAGCATGGTTTTACTTATAAAATGTGGTTAAAAGTAAATCCTGTTGAAGTACATTATAACGTATGCTAAATAAGTTTTTTCAAATGAAGTCACGATATCTATCTATGTGTACATGTTACTTTGAACTGTATTATTTGTACAAGAGCCAATAAAATACTAACCAATTGTACATACTGAATTAAACAGAGACAGAGTCGACATCATTTCTGAGATGTAGGGGGTATATCTTGATAGAGGTGAATCCTAAATAGGAGAATGAAATGCACATCCTAGATTCTACTATAAGACATCAACCATCTTTTTTCCAAGTAAATAGAGACTGCTTCAAATTTGTGACTTATTGAATGAAAATTCAATGATTTATCCATAAAAAAAACCACCGAATCAAAATTAGATAGATTAACGGAAAACTCCTTCTCGAAAACGAGAAAACTCATTTATTTACATGGATTAGCTAATATTAATGAGCAGTAGTAACTGTAGTAGTCTTAACGATAAGGCGTGAATAGTGGAGTTAAACTGCGTCGGTTGTCAGGCAGTTACCCCCTGAAGACACGGGATAATAGTCGCGCAATATCGTTGACTGATTCAAGTTAGACATTATTACCGTTGGATGCCAAGAGAGTAAGTGTTTATTCACGAGACCGATGGTCTTGGATTCGGCTCCTATGAGTGAATTCATGGATGTGCACTGTCTACAAGTCCCTTACTAGGACAAAACGGTCTTTCAGATCATCAGTGGTGATCTAACCTTCATCGATTCTTGATTTCAATGAAATTCAACAATCTCCACAACTCTGTAATGATAATTTTATTTGTGCAAACATCATTCACTATAAACAGGAAATGCTATCAGATACATGTTTCTTTTTAACAAAAATGTCATTTCATTTGTAGGAATTTTATCTTTAAGTAACAAATATATTTATGATGTGTTTAAATTGAGGTCTTTTTAAAGAATTAGATTGGACTGCTAATTATTCTTACACATTTTATGCATTTATAATCAAAATAACATATCCATTTATACATATGCAATGGTACGACCGAGAGTGGTGAGAGTTCGTTCTGTTTACGAAATTTAGAGGACGAAAAGCGCATATCTGACCATGGTTAAAATGAGGTTGCGTAGTATGGAGGATTGACTTGGAGAAATTTGAAAACTCTAATTCCGAACCAATGGTGAACATGGACCACACGATCCTGAGCAGACTGGCGGCATATGAACTTATTGTTGGTCACTGACTTCACTACCTTGTGGATTAGACTTTAGGGTCAAAGGCTGTTTGAGTGGTCTAATAAACCCATCTTTTTCGGTTTCCACTTCTAGGTAATATCACAGCCTACTCATAAATTCATCGATATGTATGTTGCATAAATATTTAGGTGTCTTTTTGTAACAACAATTATACGTTTATGTATAACTCACCTTGAAAGAACTAGCTGAAATAATTCGTATATCTGCTGGGACACGATCACCACATTTAACATCAATTAAATCACCAACTACCAAAGCTTCAGCTGGTGCTTCAATTTTCACTCCACCTCGAATAACTAAAGCAGTCTAAAAAGTATAAAATAAATATATACTGACGGTAGTTACACTTTGTTCACATACATCGAACATAAACTTTTGATCTGTTAGTCATGTGACCAACATTAAATTTAGATAAATCGGTGTACTGAAGTCATTGAGATAAGTACAAAGCAACGTATTGTTTGTCTAAAAATAGAATAAGTTCCAGTTAACAACCTATTTACTCCAATCAGCGTCTAGCTTTGCAGTTATTCAACGTTAGTTACCTTTACTCATACTAGATTACATAAATTCATAAAGCAACGAAATAGTAACATCTCAGAGAACAATTACATACGTATTTACAGTAATCTGATGATGGACTTACGTCATATTTGTATTTGGTTACTCTTAGCTTTCTTACAACTTGATCAAAAAATAACTAACTAACTAACTAACTATCCATGTAAGCAGTGATCAGGAACATGTTACACATGTTTCAACCACCTCAATTGAAAGTTCACAACTTCACCAACCGATTATATATCTTTTCAGGGAACATGCATCTAACCACAATATTGGTCATTCTCTACATTAACAAAATCCAAATATCCTAGTGAATCTATACTTATTAAAATTCCACTGAGATTAATAAACCACGAAGTTATGTAAAGGCGACACATATAAAAGTACTGACCGGAAATTCGATAAACGATAAATTCATTGTTTCTGGCATTGCTAACAATTGTCTTAAACGATATCATCGACTTACCTGTGGAATCATTTTTTTGAACGATTCCATAATACGTGATGACTTTGATTCTTGATAGTATGAAAAGCAACCGGTAACCACTACGACAACTGATAATACAATCCCAAGGTAAAGCTTCAAAAAAGAAAAAAAATACAGAAACACCATATTAAGAAAGAATAAAAAAATTACAAAGTACTAAGTAATTCGTCTATACTTACACATATCCACAGAAATTAGTAAAAAAAAAGACATTTAAAAATGTTTTGAGAATAAAATTCAGATTATAGACAAACATATGCATATCGATTAACAAATCGATAATCCCAATACAGATCAAATGTCCATAAGGAGAAATAAGTAATTTAAGTATATATATTAGAAATAGTTGCTAGAATGTCATAAGAAATAGTATATATAGTAAGAACTGACAAATAATTGAGGCATCAAGCATAAAATATCCATTCCAACACCAAACAAATGTTCCATAAAGAATATTTATGTATTGTGAAGTAACATAACTAATGAATTAGAGCAATTCATTGTGCAAAAAATAGTATATGCTTTGTTTTTGAACAATATCTATTGTGCTTTAAAAATAGTGAGACAGAATATCTGCTTAAAACAAAATGTACCAAGTTTCGTACTCAGAAATAAATGACCTTAAGTTATGTTCTGTAGTTTATCAGTGAAGTTTAGAAAAATTGGTTTCATGTTTTGGTCAGTTACAAGTAAAGTTAAATCTGGCACATGTTTACAATGAAGTTAATCTGCTTTAGTTAGGAACTAAGACTCATTACAAAATTCCACTCAAACTATTAACCAGTAAAATGTAACTGAGTAAATTGAAACCAAGATTATAAAAGAATCAAAGAATAACCAATGTAATTAACGCTGTAAAGATGCAGAGATGTATTCACAGTCGACAAAGAACAGTGCCCAGTAGCATCCAATCTTTGTGCGTTAAACAAATCTAAACTGTTTCTAAGTAGAATTGGGTTCCTTTATGTTTGTACTATTCTCCGTTACTTTGAATAATTACATTTTAATTTCGTAAAACTTATACCTCCAACAAAGCTTTATAGATCGTACTGACAGGCGCTTTGAACTGTCTACCACAGCGACTAATACTGATTAGAAGTTTCACTTATTCTACCTTAAACCAAATGACGGGACAATTATCACAAAATAAATGCATACGTATTAACCGTGGACTACATTGTGAAACCAATATATTTTTCTGGCAGCCAATCAATGACTATAAAATAAGGCATAAATTTACATCGCTCAAGATACCACAATTTACACCATGGCGAGAGAAAACACACAATATAAAACAAACTGAGGATAATATGAATGATAGTAAGGACGAAAACACACCAATTATTATTTCAATGAATGCATGAGACTAGGGAACTAAACGGTATAAAAACTCAAGAGTAGATAAAAATCAATGAGCTAGTACCAACATTACTTATGCTTAAGAAAGCTACTCGAGATCCTTAAACGGAATAACTAATGAAGTCGTTTATTGATCTCAAAGTAATATTCAACTGACAGTAAACAAATCGTCAAAGAGAGATAAGGCGAACTAGGGATTTGACTATTGAATAAAAGATCTCGGTTTCGAACTATACTCTGTTAACTTCAGTCTGAGTAGCTGAATAATATCACAAGTCCTAAAACAAATGTGGCTCGAGAGAAAATCAATAGGCTTATATTTTCTAAATAGGTTGACTAGTCTATGATTTCAATAAAACTGTGGTGTTAAAGGGTATAACTTAAAGGTCGACTTACTTTGGTGAGAAATCATTGTATTTCAAAAACGATTCATAAAATTAGTCCACCTTAGGGCAATAAACACTTGGATGCTCAAACCACAAGTAGTAAAACAGCATTTGAAGTTACAAACAAAATACTGAGTATGATGTATTTAAATCATGCAGTTACAATCGGTAAACATAGTTTACAAATAAATTCTTTATCTGTAACTCATAGCACCATAGTGTTTTGCGTACAGGTAATAAAACACGGCAAAAATAACACAAAATACGTTTTAGTGCAAAAAGATGTAAGCAGATAGGTAAATGCTAAGAGAAATTTTGGTAAACTTGATATTTAAATCAAACACTCAAAAGGCCCGCGGAAGTACATTATAATAATCACCACAAGCAGTCCGGCAACTTTCTAAGCACCTAATTTCAACTAATAAACAAGGAGGCATATGTTTTCTACTGGCTTGTTTTATCACTTAAATACAATTCACCGTATTAAATAATTAATTATTACCTAGCCTTTAATCATAAATTTTGATTGGATTCTTCAACACCTCTAGTTTTGTCCTTCTAAACTTATCTCACTGAATCATACCTCTTGAATAATATCTTCTAATCCTAACATCTCCGATTACTTCTAATACTTTTACTTCCTCTACTACTATGGGATTTGAATTGACAATTGCATCTCTGTGCTAATGTGGTATGGCAACATGAACTGATGTACTTACGTACGAAGTTCTAAGTTGCAACTGACTGGTTGGAAACAATATGTTTGTATCTACATGTGCATAAAGACCTTTCTCAATTTTGAGTATTAGATTATTTATTATAGGTAATAAACAAAAAAATCAGCCTACTGAACAACTTAATTACAGAACTAGTGTAGTCAGTAAGCAGAGAATAGTAAGAATAACACCTAAAGTTGTATTCACTAATAAAACTGTGAACGAGAAAGTTCAAAGCACATACAATCAAAGCTCTCAACCACAAAAGTATTATTAATAGTACACAACACTTACGTTATCTTTTGGTGGATCTTCGTGAGTGCCACTTTCAATTGAGAAGGCAATAAAACAAAGGACAGCACCAATCCACAACAATAAGGAGAAACCGCCAAACAATGTTTTGCAGAACTTTACCCACTCTGGAGTTGTTTTTGGAGGTGTCAATGCATTTGGTCCATCGCGTTCCAAACGGGTCCTTGTAATAAAACAGACTAAGTATCTCTGACTTACTTCGCCTGTTCAGCGGTCAAGCCATTTTGTGGATCAGTAGATAACCGAGAATATAGCTCATCAAGAGATATCCGATGTTCATCCATATCCAGCTCCTGCTTCAGTTCGTTCAAGTCATCCTTCTTCAGATTTTTCTTCGACTTTTTTTCTGTCGCCATCCGGTAACTATCACTTCGCTGCGGAAATAAAGCCAATAGGTTTTATAAGATTTTTAAAAATATTTGAAAGATGAGAAACGTCTTCGAATTAATTTTTTAGATGAATAATGCTCGAAAAACTTACGGCATTCGGGACACCCATTTTTATACTATGAGCAAAGTGAAACCCTCTATTTAACTGTACGCCGGAGTGAAGAAGTAAATGTGACAAAAACAAATAGTTGATTCAAACAAATTTTTCTCAATCAGAAACTTGTGCTGTTATTTGTCAGTTCGAAAGAGTAGTGCTTTTCGTAGAAAACCACTGTTTCAGGCTTCGCAATCACAGAAAAGTGATTGTGTATCGTTGAACTCGTAAACAGAAGACACTTCAGATTTCAATTTGCTTCACAGAATTAACAAATATTCTCTAACTTAGATATGCTTCCGGGTGGTATAAAGGAGTTTTACCTTTCCTGTATAGTAAGTGAAAGACAGTGTCATAAATAATTTCTATGATGATTATTTTAGAAACATTGAGGGGTACTTAACATAACCACCAAGTCTATTAATTAATTACCCAGGTAAGAGAAGCCGAAAGGGAAAACACGAAATTATAATTTGTGGTTACACGTGTTGTATTTCGATATAAACAATATAGTGTACTAACTAATCTAACATTATCGGATTCGAATCACGTACCTCGAAGAATTTACCAATCAACCTATAGTACAAAACTGTGAAAAATTCTTGGCGGATTACATAATTTAGGGAAAAGAAGTGCTTGGTCAAGAGACGACTGATCGTTTTTGAGTAGTCAGCAGAACTAAAGGAGTTTGAAATATATTTATACACCGCTCCGAAACCCTACTCAGTAGCATTTTACTTCAGTTAATATAATCGGTTCCAAATAGGCTGAATGGGAAATAGCAATTATAAATAACTAAATAAATTTCTCCTTAACTTTGGAAAGCTTATTCAATGGTGCAACGGACCGTAATATCAAGCTCCCATAACTTTCAGTAGCTCTAACCTTTTATTACATGTCACAGACTTGCACATCTCAGAATAAAATATTTCAACAAAAAAACATTTCTCAACAAAAACATCTGATGACCGCAAACA